TGACCTCAAAGTTAAACCAGTAAGAGTCACTGGTGGGATATTGAGACCAGAAGTCACCAGAAAGCAGATATTTCTTGTACCCTCCCTAAATCCTTCTTACCTTAGGCTTTATTTTCATCCCCTTCTATCCCTCATGGACTACTTGCCTTTATAAAAATAGCTTTAACTGAGCAGGCTTGCTCTTCTGAGGCTCCAACTCTTATGGCTATTGTTAGGTAACTAGTTAGATATTACCAGACTGGGCCCTTGTTTCATGCCACCTATAAAACCAATGACTGGAACTATAGCTTTCTGCTTCCCAGGCAGCATTTGAAATATCATGCACATTTATGTCAGTTTCCTCTGGTAAAGATGGCATGATCCATTTCTGGTCCTTTCTGATGCAGACAAAAGATGCCTCCCATGTGTAGAGACTTCTTTGAGACAAATGAATACCACAAGAACAGGTTTGATGGCTTGGTCAGCAGTTGGTCACACTCTTTTCTTTGTAGAGAACAGTAGTTTCCCTTTACTAGACAAGGCCTAAAACTTCCTGTGATAAGGAGAAAACCTTGTGTTACTATCTGTTGCCTGAGTTCTCTTAGGGTCACTTGCTCCTGGCACTCTTAGAAAAACCATATAACACATATTTATCTGAATTTTTCATAGTTTGTATCCTGGGTAGGGGAAATAGAGTAACTTACAAAGGCGAACACCCGGTACCCGGTACCCCACAAAAGATGAATACCCAGTGCCCCGTTCCACTCTGTGGCCCAGCGGCCTGCCATTCCAGATAGCTTCCATGCCCCACCCACAGTCTCCCTTAGCTTTTGTCCACACCTCGTGGGCCTCTGGTCTCATTCCAAGTCAGTAAATGCCCCCTCTTGCATCCATGCAGGCAAGACACCAGGGCCATTTGTTTTCTGCACCGCTGCTGCAAAGATGGCACCAACACTCCTCCCTCTGCAGCTAACTCTCCACAGCTCCCTCTCCATAGCTAACTCTCCACAGCCGATTTTCAGCAGTAGGCTCTGCCCCTTGGAGGAATAAATGCCCCTCAGGACACACTCCACCCCTTCCTCCAGCTCTTATAATTATTCCTCCAATCTTTCGCTAAGGTCTCTGAGCCTTGGAGGGGGTGACAGATGTAGGGAAATCTCTCTTGTATCATGGCAAGATAGTGACTTCCTGGGCCTCCCCATTATTCATCTTCAAGCTGTGGCCATTGATCTATCTCAGTGGTGTTTCTTCTACTGTAAAGACAAATGGGAGGAAGTAGACACATCTAAACAAACATGAATGTAAGTACAAATGCCTAGCAGATATCCCAGTAGGTGTACTATATTCATTAAACAGTATACTTGCAATGGCTTCCCCACCAGGGCCTGTAGACTTTCTCCACACAGGGGGTTGGCCTGTTGGCCTGGTCTACAATACCAGATGTGTGTTCCACCCCTAGGAGCGAGCCTTGTCCAATTAGAAATTTGTCAGTTGTATGTATGTTAGTTGCGACATTATTGCACTTACAGGCATTGCTTGGCATGTCCATAGTGTGTAGCATGCAGGGTCCATTGTTGAGTAGAATCATAGGTGATCCTTTGTTCCCCAACCATCTGCATAGCACTTTTTGGTACTATGAATGTCATCCATTCAGTGGCATGGAATTTTTGGCTTAGTCTCAGCCTCGTCTTTTCTTTTCACCTGTGCTCACATCATGCCATGTCTTCATCAACATGGCCTTACCAACATTTCTGGTTTACCACTGACATTAGGGGGTAACCCACCCCTAGTACTGTAGATTTTCTTAACAGTTGTATAGTTTGGGAGCCTCTGTTTTTATCTTACCCAACCATAAAACTCCCAAGAATCTTACAGCTATAGCTGGCCTTTGTTTCTCCAGGTATCTTCCAAATGGGTTTCACATCTGTAAAACACTCAAAGGAAGGTTAACATTCTGTATTAAATCAGTCATAGACAAGGTCTAACACAGCATGGAAAAGTTTTATACGTTCATATTCTTTTCTCAATAGATCTTTGTTCAGTACCATAGCATGGGTAAGAGGCATTAATTTGGTTAGTTCTTTACCATCTTTAATTATCCCTGGGGAGTCAGTCTGCATTCTGGGGATCTTGCATGAAGTCTCTTTGTATTCTTTTATTCTTGATACACTTACAGGTGTTGGCTCCAGTTGCCTGACCCTGCACAGGGCTAAGGAAGCAGGGGGGTTTCTTGTTCCCTCTGTACCTGTTGGTTCTCTGAGTCAGGCAGGCCCTGGGTCTGCCTCCTGACTGTAGCCATATTTGTCATGTCTCCATTGATCTTACCTGGCTGCTGGAAGAGGCCTTTGTGAGAAAAACTGCCTCCACCCCTAGTAGAGCCTTTATCAGGAGAGAAATGCACTTTATTTAATTTGAGGGGATTCTTAACCACCCATGGGACAGTTTTTATCCTTTGGATGCATTTTGTAAACTGTTCTTCTGATTTTAAAGCCTTCCAGAAACTCCTTAGTACCGAATTTGGTTTTCTATCAATTTTTTGTTTGGGGATTTCGGCTTGACAAAAGTCTTGTCACATTTGTCTTTGAGTAACCCAAATGGAGCATTTCTTCTGCCTGGCCTATTTTACATCTCTTGTAGGGTGTTCTGTTATTCTACAGACATGCTTTACATGGTGGTCAGAGTCACTTAGGTCTGCTAAAGCCTCTCTCACTTTACAAAGATCCTGTCC